ATGGCGCCTGGTATCTGATGCATCAGTTTGGTGATGAGAGGCTTCATTGTGTCGTCTTCGGTGGTAAGTATAAGACATGGTATTCTGCTGATCAACCTAAGAAGAGGGATCCTGTGTGGGTAACGTCCGGCGATGTTCTCCTCGCCATGAGGAAGCGTTCTGGTTACATGCGGGGATACCGCGTTAAGGTCCTCGCTCACGGCCTCCCATTCATCCTCCAGTGGAGGGGAGTCCAACGCGGTATGCAGTCCACTACGGCGAAGATTGAGAGGGGATGCGGCGGCTTTTGCGTTTTTGGCGACTACGGCCCGATGTATACCGTTGACGACACCTACCGGGTTGAGGACTCGACTATTGAGCTCAGCTTCGACCATTCCGTCCTCACGGCTACAACACCATACCCTCCCCATGATACTACTGAAACACCAGAGATGCCGGGGACGGGGGCGCCTGCAGAGTCTACTACTACCGAGGCCCCTGTAGAAGAATCTACTACTGAAGCCCCCGTAGAAGTGTCCACTACTGAGGGCGCTGTAGATGCGGCTACCACTGAAGCCCCTCTTGGTGAGTCCACGACTGAAGCACCTACAGGTGAGGCTACTACTGAAGCCCCTGCAGACGAGTCTACTACTGAAGCCCCTGTAGACGAGTCCACTACTGAAGCCCCTGTAGACGAGTCTACTACCGAGGCCCCTGTAGACGAGTCTACTACTGAAGCCCCTGTAGACGAGTCTACTACTGAGGCCCCTGTAGACGAGTCCGCTACTGAAGCCCCTGTTGGTGAGTCTACTACCGAGGCCCCTGTAGACGGGTCTACTACCGAGGCCCCTGTAGACGAGTCCACTACTGAGGCCCCTGTAGACGAGTCCACTACTGAGGCCCCTGTTGACGAGTCTACTACTGAAGCCCCTGTTGGTGAGTCTACTACCGAGGCCCCTGTAGACGGTTCTACTACTGAAGCCTCAGTGGACGAGTCTACTACTGAGGCCCCTGTAGACGAGTCTACTGCTGAGGCCCCTGTAGACGAGCCTACTACTGAAGCCCCTGTAGATGAGGGTACCACTGAATCTCCTGTAGACGAGTCCACTACTGAGGCCACTATGGGAGAGTCCACTACTGAGGCCCCTGTAGATGCGGTTACCACTGAAACCCCTGTTGGTGAGTCCACTACTGAAGCACTTATAGATGAGGCTACTACTGAAGCCCCTGTGAATGCGTTTACTACTGGCGCCCCTATAGACGAGTCCACCACTGAAGCTCCTGTAGGTGAGGCTACTACCGAAGCCCCTGTAGATGAGTCTACTACTGAGGCCCCTGTAGACGAGTCTACTACCGAGGCAACTGTAGACGAGTCTACTACTGAGGCCCCTGTAGACGAGTCCACTACTGGAGCCCCTGTAGATGCGTCTACTACTGAAGCCCCTGTAGATGAGTCCACTACTGAAGCCTCTGTTGGTGAGTCCACTACTGAGGCCCCTGTAGACGAGTCCACAACTGAAGCTCCTGTGGATGAGGCTACTACTGAAGCCTCTGTTGGTGAGTCCACTACTGAGGCCCCTGTAGACGAGTCTACAACTGAAGCTCCTGTGGATGAGTCTACTACTCCTACAGCCACCCTGACTGAGTCTATGACTACTGGAGCCTCTTCAATGGTGTCCACCACTGAATCCTCTATGATGGAGGCTACTAGCACTGGAGCTCCGGTAGTTACTAGTGCGCCTCCTATTGGCGACTTCACTGATGCTCCTCCCATCCTCCCATAAGGCAGCACTGCATAAGACAGAGCTTTATGTTTGAGGATTGATTATTTTTGTATGAAGCTCTCATGACTACTCCACTGGTGAGATGTTGTTCAGAAACCTCCATGAATGGAATGAAGCATCATCTATAAGCATCGCCGTGTTGTGTAGACGTTAATGTTTTGGTGAGTCGAGCGGTGCATTTACTTGCACTGCAGACGCGATGTGAATTAT